CAAAACACACACACACACACACACACATATATATATATATATATATATATATATATATATATATATATATATATATATGTTTCTGTAGTTTACTGCTACCAGCAAGCAGAAAAATTTCTCCTCCCAATGATGGCCATTTCGCCCGAAACTAGTCGAGGAATCTAAATGAAATAATAATTAAAAAAAAAGGAAAGAATATTAATCTACAACCCAGTGTGTCTGAAGATTTTAATTTTTTATATTTTTATTGTTCAAAATATATGTATATATATATATATATATATATATATATATATATATATATATATATATATATAGATCGATCGTTCTTCTGAAACAGTTGCTCATTGTTATAAAAGAATTTTATTCAATTAAAAATGCTGATATAACATGGTTTTACAATATCTGTATCCGCATTTGATCGTCTAACTTCTTAATTTCCACAGCCATAGATAGTTTGGAATACTGACAATTTTGCATTGGTACAGCCGTATTTTATATTATAATGTTTAATCTGTCTGTCTGTTCATCTCTTGATCTCACGTGTTATAAAGCTGGCCATATGACAGGAGATTGGTTATCTCCTTCGATTACTTTTTCTTTTTCCGGAGAGATAGAAACATTGGACGAATCAAAATGTCAAATATATAGATAACATCCTTTTAACTTATCTAACAGGACAAGTGTAATATTATTGTGCGTATAGTTTGTCCTCTTTCTTAATAACTCATTCTTTTTGCCTAACCATGTTATTCTGGAGACAACGAAATCTACCAATGTCAATGATGTCTGATAATTGGGCAGCGCTATGAAAGAATTAGATTCATGACTTACCGAAATGCATAATTTCTTCTATGTTAAGCATCAGAGAATCGGTTAACTTTGCTAATTCTCTACGAAATCTAAGACACCCGTTCGAATTACGACACCTATACGTACGTTATCTCGGGATTGACTAAAATTAGTTAATTATGACAGGAGGAAATAAATGGGAGTAAATTAAAAAGGATATAACTGTCGACACTCAAAACTTCTTGCATATTGAGTACGCTAACAAGGGGAACAGAAAAACACGCGCTCACTAATACGACAAAGATTTATCGGCGTGGAAAATGGATTTGACGAGCCGCGTTCACATTCCAAACCAGTCTGTTGCATTCACTGTCACACCTACTCCGTTTGAAAACGAATAAATCCATCTGTTCCCCCCTCTCACTCACAACTATGCTTCCAATAATAGAATTGACTGAACTAGTCACGAAGAAGGAATTCTGAATTCCTTACCGTGTGATGGGGGTGGAAAGCAACGGGAAAAATTTCTATTATTTTTCCCACGATGACATGGCAATTTATAGATATTTGATAAAATTAAGATGCGAAGTGCTATGGTCGGTTACGTTCTAAAGAGACACGGTATTTGAATAACTAATATAGTAGAACACTGTGTGTTTCCATCAGTCAGTGACTCTCAAACTCACTACAAGTGATCCATAAGCTTTGCTAGTAATATCCTCTTTTATGTTAAGGCAGCTATGTTTGCTTAATATAAATAGTTGTGTATATTTTCCGGCAAATAGGCATTTCCTCACAAAAGTGACTTTCGTCACAATCTTTTCGATTTCTTTTTTGGTATTCAAGAAATAACTAACATGTTGCTTATTTATTTCCTGTTTTTCTTTACTCGTAATTTTATCCATTTATATTTTAGGTTGCTTTTTTTTTGTTGTTCTGTTTTGTGTTGTTTTTATTCGAAATATCGTTCAGTTTTCAGTTACCCTTGAACAGAAAGAGATTAAAAACTATATCAGCAACGAAATAAGAGACAGAGAGAAAAAAAAAGAGAAAGGAAAGATGGTGAATGCAAAACACCGCGTGAGAATTTAAGCAACTGATTTTTTCAAGAATTTGCGGTTTGTCACGATTACTGAAGACCAGGTGCTTTTCGTGAAATGTTGCGATTTGGTTGACACCAAAATGGACGACGGAGAACCGCCGGCTTTTCCAACAGTCGCGCTTATTAGAGTTTTTTTTTTTTTAACAGATTTACAAGGGTTGCGTACGTGTGTATTTGAATAGAAAAAATAAGCTGGCTGTTTATAAAGTAGCAAGTGTGTAAAAATATGTAAAAGGAGAGATTAGGGAGGAATAGAACATCCATCTAAATATATAGTTGTATCTATGTAATTATCTTCTCGTGTATGTGGATTTATCACGAATATATATATATATATATATATATATATATATATATATATATATATATATATACGTGTGCACATATCAAGTTGGAAACAAAATGGCCGCACAAGTTTATATTTATTTTATTGAAATTTTGATATGTCAATGATATCCGCAGTTTATTGATGTTATAAAAATCTCTTTTTTTACACAGATTTTTTTTTCAAAATATTATCTTTTGTAATGCATATAATTCAATGGAGAATATTATTCTCATATGGGAACACAAAATTCATCTTATAAACATATGTTAGTAGCTTCCATATATATATATATATATATATATATATGTCAAATAATGATAATGATTTTTTTCAACAGTGTTCAATGCAGATCTATAGAGGAGAAATATTATAAATTTACTAATTTAAAAATTTGGTTCCATCGCTACACAAGAATTACCATGTTTCAAAAACAGAAACTCAAAACTTGTTCAATACAAAATATAATAACATGGAACAGAGCCAATACAATCCTATGTGCCCCAACCAAAGCATTGGTAATTCTTGCATTGAAGTCATTAAGGTCTGCTAGATTTTAAATTAATTTCAATTCGAAAAATAATTGAATTTAAAAACAAGCACCAGTGAAGTCAATTACGATTTTGTAGTGAGTTCGATACTCACTGATGCCCCATTCTTTCGGCCTTGTGCCATATCAAAACTATGCTTAGTAGATCACTATCTCATCAACATTTTCATCCTCCTTTATATAAGTGAATTTTCCGAAGAATAAGGAACTGATATAGGAAAAAGATCGCTGCTGTTATAGTAATATAGATAAATAGTATACGTACTACAGGAAAATCCGGCTTAATTTCAACATGGAGAAAATTAATTTGCGCATGTGTAAACAATAATATACGCATGCGCAATCAGCACTAGTATTGCGCTAAAATTCTTAACAAACAAATGATAGATGATTTGAACGACCTGACAGATTAATCTATCGTCTGTACACATGATTAAATCGAGCAAAAGTTTCCATTTTACGGTCCAGCGACAAGCGTAGATAATGTCGACACAGTAAAGACGCTTGTCAATAATGAAATCTAGACTTAGAATAACACTACGGATTATATACATTGGAAATGTGAACTTTTCATATTACAGTTAAATTTATAATGGTTAAGCTTGAGATTTCAAGTCACTTGTTTTATATATTAATTTATTCCAAGCACAAGGCTATTGGCATGTTGCACCTAGCGAGTACAGAAGTAAAAAGTTCTGCTTGCCAAGATGTTCTTCATCTATATTTCGTCTATCTACGGGTAGTGGGCGATCAGGGCTCCCCACATCTTCCTATCCTTTGTAGCTCTTATGTGTTTACACTATCACTCGCACTCCTTGTTCTGCGAAGCAAGCTCATTTCTTTCTTTCAATTCGTTTCTTCAGTATCTCCCGTGAGTGTCAATTTTTACAAGCCTTCTTTCTTTAGTATGTGTCCCAGAAATGTCATCTCTCTCTTTCTGATTATAAGTATAATTTTTTTTTTGTTTTCATTTTCCTTAAAGTACGTTCGTTACTCAAGCATTCCGTATATAGTATTTTCAGCATTTTGCTATAGAACTAAATTTCTCCTGTCTGAATTGTCTTATTCATCTGTGAGAAGTGTAGTTTGAAAAAAAAAAATAAAACTTATCTCATGGACGTACAGACGTAAAAAGAATCTCGTGGGGAAGCCATATTGTTTTTATGCTGAAAAAGTGACGAAAACTCACGGCGACCACGAAATTTAAGAAAAAATAAATATGCAGTGTACGAAAGACAGAGGAAAAAATAGAAAGGAAGTTGGTCTACAAAAAGACCAGACAATACGACAAATAAAACATCTACAAGCTATTTCGGCATACATATCTGTTATAAGCGCCGTGTCGATATGGAGGCTAATCGCAAAGTAACTGTCGATATGGTGAAAACGTTCAGTGGCGAAGGCGATTTGATGGCCTAGTTGGCATGCGAAATTGGTAGCAAGACTGCAAAAAATCCACGACCTCGCAAGCTTGATGTCTTTGTTTTTAGAAGGACACGCCCTGGCCTTATATCTCCAATTGACCGAAGAGGATCAACGGGATCCAAAGAAAATAGAGGCTAAGTTAAAAACAGCCTTTGCGGACGGATTTTTTTCTGCATATGCAAAGCCAGTGAAGATGCGGTGGACCGGCGATGCAGTTGATGTGTATGCAACGAATATACAAAGACTGGCGGAAGTAGCAGGGTTTGAAGGAAGTGGACAAGAGAAGATCGAGAAGCTCACGTTTGTCAACGGGTTCCCGGAAAATATTTCGGTGCCACTAGAGCAGTTGCCAAATGTGAAGAAACTGGAACTTAGTAAAATAATCTCAACTGCCAGGGTGCTTACAGCCACCCGAAGACCAGAAGTGGTTGCGGTCGCAAAACGAGAACGTAAACAGCACGATGGAAGAGCAAGGGTGATCAAACCGTTTAGTGGCAAATGTTATAACTGCAAGTGCCCTCACTTGTTAAGAGACTGTACGGAATTAATCAAGGTGACCTGCTATAGATGCTGAGAGCCGGGGCATTATGTAAAACACTGCCCATAGGGGAAAAGAACAGGGGGCAACCGGTGCGCTAATAGAAGGCGATAGAGCAAGGGCCCTGATTGATACTGGCTGCGCTGCAACATTAATCCGGTTGGGCCTTTCGACTGATTGTAGGAGTACAAGTACTGTAAGAGCAGTGGATGGACGGGAGGTTGTGTGCAGAGGGATCAGCACAGTAACGTTGGAGGTATGTGGATGGTTACTGAGAATCGAGGCAATTCTTATGGAAAAGGTCATCGACGGTGTTGACTTCATTGTGGTCATGGATGTTATCCGTCAGCTTGGAGGGGTTACCGTCTACGAAAACGGTAACGTGGAGTTCAGCGGATGTGCTATGAATATACAACGAAACGGCAAGACTAGCAAACAAAAAATCAATGTGAAGTGGTAGAAAAGGACTTTGGTGCAAGATTTGCTGGATAGAAGTGGACCGTGGAATAGAAATGGATTTCAGAACCCTGATATTAAAAAAACAAAGTTAATCACCTCCATGCTAAACTAAGTAAGGAAAAGAAGGTCTAGTTTGACAGTGAAGTTAAACGGTAGATTGAGGAAGGAATCTTAACCCTGTGAGACCAGGATGTTCAGACGGATGTGCTACCCTTAATGGAGGTGGAACAACCTAACAAAAACAAGATCAGGCCAGTTTTCGATTACCGAGAACTAAATAAATACATTATGTATCATTCTGGTGGGGATGCAATTAAAGTTTGTGGAGAAAAAATGAGGAAGTGGAGGCAATTAACAACGGCATCAAAAATTGTAGTTCTAAGTTCCACATATTTGCAAATACATGTCTCGAGACATCTGTGGATCTACCAGTTAGATCGGTACAGACCTATTGTTTAACGAGGTTGGGTTTCGGGCTAAATGTAGCCCCAAAGATTATGTCAAAATTCCTAAAAAAACTGTGCTAAAAAAGAGGAATACATCAGAAAAAACACGGATTCGTATATTGACGATATACTGGTGGATGAAACAGCTGTACCATCGGCAGACCACCGTGTAAATGATCTTAACAACTTTGGCTTAACAGCAAAGAAACCGGAATCATTAGAAGGAGGAGGAGCAGCATTTGGGTCTTCGGCTTTATACGGATAAAGCAGGAAATCTGGTATTTGCGAGGGGGAATGACCTGCCTGAGGGGCATGAAGAAATAAGCAGGCGTGAACTGTTCTCAGCCTGCGGAAAAATGGTGGACCACTAACCAATAGCTGGATGGCTTAGAATCGTCTGCAGTTATTTGAAGAGAAAAGCGGAAGAAATCGATTGGGAATACATAGTGGATAGTGAAACAACCGGTATGGTACGGGAAGTTGTGGAAGAGGTTCGACACGACGATCCAGTTCGAGGGAGATGGCATGTTCCCAAAATGGAAAAGGGTGTTGTATGGTGCGGCGCAAGCAGTATGGCCACTGGTGTGTGTATTGAGATCGATGGTGTGAGAGTCGAAGTTGCGGCGTGGTTAAGAAAGAAACGTGACTACAACCATATCAACGTTGCTGAGTTAGATATTACGATAAAGGGTGTAAATCTTGCGTTGAAATGGTGTCTAAAAGAGAACGAGATCCGAACTGATTCGCTTACTGTCCGCAGTTGGATCAGTCTTATGATAACGGACGAAAAATAGATCCGTACAAAAGGAATGCAGAGCTACTTATCATGCGACGTTTGGAGATTCTGAGGGAAATGATTGATGAATTTAACTTAAAATTGAGTGTAACGTCCGTGCCCTCTGACAGAATTAAGGCCGATGCTCTAACCAGAGTAAAAAAGAGTTGGCTGAAAGTAGAGAAAGCTATTACGGCGACGTGCCGTGCAGGCCAAGATGAGATCAAGGAGTTACACGGACTGCATCGTATGGGAGTGGACATAACACAGTACGGAAAGTTTACCCGGATGTGTCAAGAGATAGTGTACAGAAGGTGGTTAGAAACTGCGATCGGTATCAATCGATCGACCCGTCGCCAAATGTTATCTAATTAGGAGAGTTCCAAGTAGACACCGATTGGACCTGGTTATCTATCGATGTGACGCAAAAACGTACCTGACTATAGTTAATTGTGGCCCTGGCCGCTTCGCTATTTGGAGGGAGATTCGGGCAGAAACGGCAGATATCATTGCAAAGGAGCTGGAGGAGATTTTCTTTGAGCGTGGTTGAAGAGGTAATCACAGGACATATTGAAGGCATGGGAGGAGAAAGGAAAACAGAGAATAACCTGCTTAAGAATCTTGTGTAAATAGATGGTAAACTATGGTTTAGAAGAGATTGCAAAAAGATAGAAGTTACTTAGAGCCAAAAAAAGGACATTACAGAGAGCCATAATCGCCAAACCTGAAATAGCCTATCACATAGAAGATTGTTTTTGTCTTGTGACGTAAACGAAAAAATGAAATATTCAAGCAACTGTAGTGATTTTAATAGACAGTTCACGCGAATCATTACAAACGCGTTTTTCCCATCATAATCCTTCTATTTCTCCCCAAATCTGCATTCCTCGAAATCTGCAAACAGTAAAATCATTTGTTACTTTCAGGCAGTATCAAAATGTCATTGAATCTAGTTTAGGGCGTAAAATCTAAAACCTTTAGCCAAGAAAACGATAATACTAGCAATATGGAACAGATGTGCATGGCAGTAGAATGGTATCGGTCGTTTTAGATATCTATAGCGTTCGTTTAGCTTTTGTTTTTAAACATATCCCCTTTTTTCCGTCAAAAGAATCCGGCTACCCAGTTTCATATACAAACTCGCTCATTAGTGATTAATTTCAGAAATTGATATTCAAAAACTTTCACAAAAAAAATACATACCATTTGACGAAATCTTTGCTAAAAGATTGGATTTTCATCCAACCTGTGTATATTTTGCCACCATTCTGAAGAAAAAATCGAAATTAATATGAACAAGGATGAACCAAAAGTTTTTCCGTATTTCAAGCTTTAATTAATACTTCAAATTACATACGAAAAGCTTTTAATCCCTGAAATATATTCTATCACATTCTATAGTCTGTTAACCTCGTTGCCTCAGATGCCCAATTCCAAGCTTATACCATTTGGCTGGTTTCAAGGCTAAAACCTCTTGCACCCGTTTTCAGCCTCATCCATAATGTTGGACTTCGGTTGGCTCAAAAAATGAGCCATGGCTCAGGAAATATATTAACCTAATAGCGCAAGGCCTGAACTGTAGACAGACAGAGGGCCGCACCTTCAGCCCCTTATGATTCTCAAATTTGCGCTTGGTCACATAGTCATGACAAGGAATTTCGCGTTGTCGATAATTCAATGCCGGCTAGCGGACTTTCAAAGTAGCATAAAGGTCAGCATTCATTGCATGACCAGCTTTGAAAAGCTCAAATTACAACAACCCCTCAAAATAACCAACAAACACACAACATTAACTTCTGTTTAAACCACTTTTGTTTGAAGTTGGGTTCTAAAACCTGGTCGGGACGAAACCACTGATTTCTCTTATTAGGATTACGAAAATAATCCGTCTTTTATCCCCAGCTGCAATACAACGCCAAAACCGGCATCTTCAAGATTTTCCTGCAGTTTTATACATATTCACAAGTCGGTGAGCATGGTTTTCAGTCATTTTGTGAGGAAATATTCCACACTGTCTGTGAGATGTCTATTGATTGCGTTTGGAGAACACCAAGTTCTGCCACAAATGTAAATGTTTGAGTTTCTCTCTGTTGTTAATCTAACACAACACAAGGCCTTCTTGCCCTCTGTTTGTCATGAGGCTGGTCGTACCTTACTTGAAACGTTTGAAACAGTTGTGTGTCATGCATTCGCTGACAGTTCCTGGATCTTTCACGCCATTAATTTAATTTTTCGCTGCCTTTAAACTCACTTTTTTCCCCCAAATAGCGTAAAATAGTTTAAATTGATTTAAGGTAATGAATAAACAATTAATGTTCATACGCTATATGTGAAAATAAAGAATTAACAATTCAGCAACGATTGAGATACAATTTGCCAAAAATAAATTTAACAAAAGATTTTTTAATTAACATGGTATTTAGGCAGCTATGAACGTATTATAAATTCTAAAGTGGAAATCTCGCTTATAAAAGGAATAATAATATGGCGAACGTGAGATCCTAATAAAGATTATTTGAAAAATCTTCCCAGCAATATGTTTACGTATCAGAACACTGCGATATATATATATATATATATATATATATATATATATATATATACAGAAACCTGGTGTACTACGTGACACAAGGTCTCCAAACGACCCTCTGTATGTTTTGAATTCAGACTTGTCGTTCTGCTAGGTCAGTTGTCATCAAGGCTATAGAACCCAATCTATCCTGCTAATTATCCATAGCTGGAAGTGGGGAGAAGAGGAGGATTCATACCTTTCCCAAGGGTATTAGCACGTAAGTGAATGTAATGCATTTCCTAATCCGAGCTGATATCCATAACTCCATCGTGCCTCATATCTATCTATCTATCTATCTATCTATTTATCTATCTCTTTCTCTCTCTCTCTCTCTCTCTCTCTATATATATATATATATATATATATATATATATATAGTAAGATATTTTTATGTTTATACGTTCTTTTTATAGATAAAAAATATTTAAGTAAATGCTCTGTTTATAATATTGAAAATTTCTTGGGCATTCAGGCCGGAAAATGTCGTTAATACTGTTTATTATAAATTATTTTACTTAAATATTTCTATCCATAAAAAGAACGTATAAACATATAAAAATGTCTTAAAATTATTGTCGGATTTTTTTCCATTTCATTGTATATATATATATATATATATATATATATATATATACACACACACACACACACACACATATATATATATATATATATATATATATATATATATATATATATATATATATATATAAATTAATGTATATCAGTAGAGTTTTTGAAAGAAAGGACCTATGAAAAATAGGAAAATTTTTTTCATCCGTTAGGATTTGATCGGACTGGGTTTGCTTAGGTTATTGTGAATTACATTCGCATGAACGGGAGACGCTGGAAGTTTCCAAATTTAGACATTAAATTAGCCCTGATCATTGCATTTAGGCATGAAAGAGTGTGTCGTCTTTAGTTGTTGAATTGAATTACCCCATTTATATTTACATAGGCTCTCTCCCAGATATTGATCATTTTAGCCCATAAATATAGCATACAGTAACACTATATAATATAAAACAATTTCTAAAATGTTGATTTTCTCCGATGGTCTGTATGACCATCCAAACATATCTCAAAGAATTTTTTCAATATCGTACACTAGCAGCATGGCCCGGCGTTGCCCATGCTTGATTCAAAAATCGTACGACTTATACAGCAATTTTCTTTGCATGAAAAGGAAAAATGGAATGGAGTTTGCGTATCACTGGCTGAGGACTTCAGTGTAGACGACATTTTCAGCTTTTTGCGAGGGTGAATAAAGGAACACATACTCGCGCCTGCCGACTCGAGAGCAAGCTACGTAAAGTTGGCCGTCTGAGTAGCACTGCTTCTCTAAGTGTACACCAATGACAGACAGCGTTTGTCCTTGGGCCTTCAAACCCTTCAAATGGATCCTTCACATGGTGACTCCCAATGGCCTCGTCATAAATCCGGTCAGTTTTAGCTAAAAACCGACATGCGGTTCAGGTGCAATCTGGGCGTATCGGTCTTGGATTTTATCGATTTTCCGCGCTGTTTACGGGTCCGTGGTCATGAAACTTCTGGACAACACTTCTAATCGTAGACTCTAAGAGGGTGTCAAATTTGGTTGTAATGCGATCATTCCTTATGTAAGCAGATTTTTTCGATTATCGATTTTTTCGATTATCGATTTTTTCGATTATCGATTTTTTCGATTATCGATTTTTTCGGAATCTGAGTCCGAACTCAAAAATCGTCTCCGTCCTGTTCTTACGGCAGCCGTTTGCAAACTTATGGTAAAAACCGCATCGAAATCGGGTGAGAAATGCGGCCTGGGGGAGGTAACAACGCCCACGACAGACACACAAACAACATGAGATAGATAGATAGATAGATAGATAGATAGATAGATAGATAGATAGATAGATAGATAGATATTTACCATTCCATTATTTTCTGATCCACATTTAATAATAGATAGATAGATAGATAGATATATAGATAGATAGATACTGAGCTGTATTTATTACATGTACACGAGAAATTCCTGCAAGATGTTTCTAACGAATTAATTTTTTCTCCTTTTTTATTTCCTTTATCTATTATTCTTTATCATCATTTACTATTTTTTTTACTCCACCTGCTGACGTGTCTGTGTGTGACTGAGCGTATGTCAAACTGTGGCTCGCTCTGTGCGTGTGATCCATTCTCGCAAGACTTCCTGTCGCGAATTGAAGTGTTTCTCGCCATTCCATAAGCTGACGGCAAATTTCTTCGGGGAGTATGAATATGTGGCTCCTTTGGGCTTTCATAGATTTCCCACCGCGCTCACTTGTCACATGATTCATTGTCACGTGTCCACGGAGGAGACACAAAGCAATTTCGAATCTGCAGGCTCACCTTGTCATATTTCTCTTGGGAAATAGTAATCCGTTTCAAAACACGTGGCACACTCACTTGCCTTCAGAACAATTAAAGCTATCTGGCAAGAATTCCAGAACTTCGTCCAGAGGTTTTCCTTAGTATAACGGTATCCGAATCAGAGAGAAAGAAATTCCAGTTAAACTGAAGGGGAGTTTTAAAAGAAAGTAAATAGAGAAAAATAACAGGAAGGGGGAAGGTAATGTTAATACCTGTGGTTTACTTATAAGGAAACATTCGGTATTGGAAGATTGGTTTGCTTTGCTTTGCTTTACGGCATATCAAACTCAATGGGTCATTTAATGCCGACAAGTTTTTTTTTTTCCTGGTAATATTTTTGTTTTGTCAAAAATCTATTTCTGGTAATATTTTTTTTCTCAAAAATGTATAGCTTGTAATATTATTTTCAAAAACGTTTTGTTGGTAATAGTTTTTTTTTTCAAAAAACCTATTGCTAGTAATAGTTTCTTTTTCTTCAAAAATTTATTTCTGGTAACAATTTTTTACAAAGTATTTCTGGTATTAAAACCAATTTTTACACTCTCATAATGCTTTTTATCTCAGTTTAGGGGTTAACTATTTGCTCATAGCTGGGACCCTATCAGGTGTTACCATCCTGGTTCAGCGTGCCTGATCAAATGCCTTGCTGTTGGGCGTAGTTTATCGTCATACACAGGACGTGGTATTGAAAGAGAACATGAAAGTAAGCGAAGAAAATAAACAAATTTATTGATGTCAAAATAGTAGAAATCTAAAAAAAATCTGATTTATACATAGTGAAATATAATAAAACAAATAACTGAATATATAATAATAAATGGGTATATAACCAGGTAAACTATGTCGATACTCATAATGTTTAGTCTGACACAAGGCTAGAACAACTGAGAACCAGTTAATGACGGAATTCGATTTTGGCAATAATCTACAAGGCTATCTTTAAATAACCTCACAAATAAATCTTTTAAGTCCATTACTCTCATCTTTAATTGCATTGATCACTAGATTACGTATGGTCAGCTCTCCATTTTTATCTAGGGCTGAGGATTATCCACCTTACAATCAATGCTTTATTTCCAAATGATATTATCTTCAGTCTTCTCAGCATATCTATCTTTTCCTCCATTTTTTTACCAGAGAAAAGAAATACTTTTTAAATCCCCGTTCAATAAGGAGTTATTATAAAAATGACATACTCTCCACCCGGAAGACTATTTTCTCCCACTGACAACGTCGCAAACCTGATTTATGCTCTATATCTGTCTAAGCCAAATGATCAGACAAGCTTCATCCTTTAGTTTCACCAGTTATAACATACTATGCTACATCTAAGGAGTCCAACCAGCGTCATTTCCCCCGTATTCAATTTGCAAATAGAAAGTTCTACTTAGCTTTTCCCCAGTAAGTGTTGATTTGCGGAAATAGATACCCGTATGGATGCGTCACCGAACGCAAAATAATTAACCACTTCATGGTTCAATCGTTATTTATCATGTATATCCTTATAGTCTTTTCTTATTACTTCCGACTGTTACATTCATACCCTGCACTTCAGTCAGTAACGCTCTACCTTCAGATGATCTTGAGCTTTGTATTGCGTTGATATAATCAAGTCAGTTTGCTCATTTCAAAATTGGATAAACATGCAAAAAGAAAATCTTACGTCTTTTTATAATCACATTGTGATATGTGAATTAATTTTTTGAAATATCAGTTCACTCAGAATATGTAACGTCTAATGGAAAACGAAATATAGTCTTACAAGTCTTCCATAATTGAAATTATTTACCCACTTACAACAGCATTGTTTATATATTGTTCCCCAGCATCAGCATGTCCAGTAGACGGAGGTATACGAAAGGCTAAAAAGAATGAAGAATGATATGTGACCGAAATAATAATAGTAATGTTAATACTAATATTGAGGAGGTACGGATTGAGGAATCGGAGACCCGAGTTCGAATTCCAGTCGAATCTATTACATTCACTTACGCGCTATACACTTGGGAAAGGTATGTATCCTACGCTTCTCCCCTAATGAGTAAATAGCAGGACAGATTTGCTTTACTTAAGAAAATGGTCTAGGAGAAAGACAACTCTGAATTCAAAAACCTTATCCTCCTGCCTGGGGGTTTGCAATAGGGTAACAACCTACACACTTAAAAAAAATGGCTTGTTATAGAAATGGCAATAATATTTTCCAACCCTATGTTTCTAGAAAGAATTAAAATTATAATATATATAAAAGGAAGCCTAAATGTGAAATAAAATAAAACATGCAAGACAAAATTAAGAAAGATGAAATGTAAATCTATCTATCTGTCTGTTTTTCAGTCTGTCTCTCTGTAATGTTCGTTTGTTCTATACTAATCTATCTATCTATCTATCTATCTATCTATCTATCTATCTATCTATCTATCTATCTCATACTATTCATTACTCTCTTTACCCCAGTCTATTCATATCTGTTTTTCTCACCAATTCTTGCTCTGTTCCTTTTATTCCATTTACTTTATCATCTATCTATCTATCTATCTATCTATCTATCTATCTATCTATCTATCTATCAAGTGTATAATATATATAATAGTAATATTAGCCCTTTCCCTACAAGGAAACATTTGCAATCATTAATCGAGCAGCCAGTACTGCTTTCGGTTGGAATTCTTAAACACTTTCTTTTAAAACAATTTTTTTAACAAAATATGTTTCTCTAGTCCATTATATACTATCGTGCTTTCCGGTATTGATCAGGTTTTTCTACCTAACTTTCAATTTTAAGTGGTGTGTAACGTCAACATCTCGATTATATCATTATTTGTTCTTTCCATTTATATGTGACATCCAATTCTGTCGTCGCTGCTGTTGGTAGTCCTCAAGTGATTTGTTTTTTTGTTTTTTGTTTTTAATTATTTCGTACATTTCTTAGTTTGTGGTATTGCCCATAAGTTTCAAAAGAAGATTATCTTTCCAAAGGCAGTCATGCTTTACTCTCTCGAAGTCATTTTTAATCATCTGAGAATATGGCTGTATACAGCTGACAGTTTATGTATATCTAATATGGATTGGCGCCTCGCATGACATCCATGTGAAAGTGTCAATCTAACGAGACTATTTAAGAACATGGCGGCTTACGGTTACTATAGTTAAGCAACGTCGATTCTGATCAGTTTAATCAGGGTGACCGTTTGGATATAGCAGGTGCTGTAAGCTTAGACGCGAGGGAGGTGTAATTAATAATGATAATGACTCGGGATTTTTAACCAGAGATTCTAGTTTCATTTCCCGCTATGTGCGTTATATTCACTGACGTGAAAATACTTTTAGGAAAGATACGAATCCACCTCTTTCCAATAGCTATGGATTAATTAATAATAATGGTATCAGTAAGCCATTGTTATCTAAGACAAAATTCTTACAATCCAAAAATGTTTCTGGCTTTAAATATATTGGAAAGTTCGAAAACGAATTAATCCAATAAAATACGAACATGACTCGAGTTTTCATGTTGATGTTTTGGTTTTGTAGCAATTGGCGGTATTGGGGGAAACTAACTCTGGCGCAGTCTATTCTATGTTCAGCTTCTTTTATTTCTATACTTAATTTGTTATAAAGAACCTGTGAAACAGAGAAAAGGCGATAATAAATACTCAGAGTGTGTGAGAGAGAGAGAGAGAGAGAGAGAGAGAGGAGGGAGTGTCTATATGTGTGTGTGAAAAAAATGAGATAAAGAGTAAAAGTAGTTCCCATAAAACGAATATTAATTCATAATAATGTATTGCTTACAACTTCTTTCTTACAACTGCTTGCAACGCACAAATTAATAACTTGCTAGAGATTTTTCCTTTCCACTATCAATAAACAAATATTTATTGTCTATTATGTCTCTTGCATGAAAGATTTCTTGACATTCAATTGACGATGACGACTTCGTTTTTGCTTTCCTTCTTTTCCATCACTCGCTTCAAAGTTTACTGTCTGTATTTTATGTCGGCAATCCTCTTATCAATTAGAGCAATAAAATTATTGGATTAAATATAATATCGTGAATGTGTTTCGTTATTCGACGCGCATCCAGCAATAATATTTTCAATAAATATTCCGATTCGCATTGTTTATTGTATTTGTGTATATGTAAATATACAAATACTAATTCTGAACGGACGTTATATTACTAGTAATAAGAATATAAATTAATACTAACAATATTCAGCAAAATACCGAATGCTACCTGTTTGTTAATAGCGATGAAACTACTACTCATATGAACATAATATGCGTAGAAATGATCCAGCTATTTAATTTTAATATTTCGCGTATGTCAAATTCTGTTTACTCACTTTGTGACCTCGCATATTGCTCCAAGCGCCCTTTACACTATACACAACTACTTTTAAATTGGGAAGAGCTATCACCTCTCTTGTTACATTCTTTTTAATCTTAAAAAAAGAATTAAGCCAGTGGTTATAACCTTGGGTTACTGCCTAAAGTTACTTCCAGCGAAATATGACCTGAAGGCCAGTTTGATAGATCTAAGTGATGTGATTTGACAATACCTATGACATGAGACTTAAGAAATGGATTGACATAACCAAGGCGGGCCTTCAAAGACCAAGTATCTGACAAACCCGATGCAATCAGGTTTATCACATTTCACCTGTCTCAATCCGCTTTGACTCACGATGTAGGCGCGTATTTGGAATACTTCTTTCGCTAATCCAATGATGATTCGGATCTCGACGTCGCATTTTCTATCCTCGCTGTATGGGTTAAATAAATTGATCTTCATGTAGTCTCACAAACACACCAGCGAAATATTAACAATATTTCAATACTAACTCACTCAGGATGCGAGCACTAGTAGATTACTAACTAGAGTACGTTATTAATTACCTAGGTCCGCCAAAACTAGTACAATATCTGTTGT